CCCGCCTGGGCCCTCACTTGGTGGGAGGGACAAGAGCGCCCGGGGGTCTCTCAGATGGGCACTGATCTCACTCATGGGGGCTCTGCCCTCGTGACCTAATCACCTCCTAAAGGCCTCACCCCAATACCATTGCAGTGGCCATCAGGTTTCAACCCACGGATTTTGGGGGGCACAGAATTCCAACCACCACATCGTCCCCAGGGCTCCCTGTGATTGCTCCTCTTGCGGCCCAGCCTGGGGGACTCGGGGCATCACTGCACCTCGTTTCTGTGCTGCTGGTGGGACGGTGGTGCCTCGCCATGGCAGGGGGAGGGTCTGCGGTTCCCTGTGGGAAGAGCAGCCGGCTTGCTTGTGGTGGGAACATGGCCCCAACTCTGGGAGGCAGGGCAGAGTGGGGGCGCCTCCTCCCTGCTTGATCTCGAGTTCCTGACCCGCAGGTACGTGGGGGCACCGGCCTGGCCCTCGTGGGTGAGTCCTGGGCCGGGGGGAACGGCGGGGCTGTGGGGGAGGAGCCGAGAAGGCAGCCCCTCTCAGAGCGGTTCCATCCTCCGGGGCAGAGCGGGCGGGCAGCCTGGGGGGACGTGGCGCCCCCGTCTGCTGAGGCCCCTCAGCCCCGATGGAGCGGTCGGCCGGGCTGCCTCTGCCGCCGCCTCTTAATGAAGTGGACGGGAAGTGAATTAATCGGTCAGTGTGCTCGTGGGCACGGCGCTGTCTCCCGGCAGAGCCTCCACGGAGGACGCCCAAGGCGTGCTGTGGCTGGTCTCCGGCTAATGACCTGCCACGAAGCCCTCCTGTCCCCCAGACCTGGGACCTTGCGGGGACTCTGCACTGTGGGAAGGGGCTGCAAGGGAGGCAGGGCTGGCAGGGGCCCCAGAAGGGGCAGCAGCCGGAGAGTCAGGCCCCGTGGGTCACTGCGGGTCACTGCGGGTCACTGCGACAGCCCCCCAGCCACTGCTGGCACCCTGCCCACATGTCAGAGGCGCTGACTGCTTCCGTGCCCGCCGCTCGCCCCGCCTGCTGCGGAGGTGGGGGGCGGGGCACTGCCCAGCCAGGGAGGGAGCCAGGCCTCACAGCCTGAGGAGGCAGGGTGTCCTGGCGGTCAGCGCCAGGACTCGGGGCCAGTGGGGAGGGGCTCACAGACCCTGCAGACAGGGGGCTCCCGCCCGCCAGGGGCTGCACGAGGGCCTGTGAGGAGGGCGAGGCAAGGGCTGTGGCTCCAGCTCCTGGAGGCGAGGCTGTTGTGGGGAGCTCCTGCCCAGATGGACGCTGCATCAGGACCCCCGGCATCGGCCCAGTGGGCCCAGGACGGGCCAGGGGAGGGTGTGAGGGGCGCCTCGGCCAGCCCAGCCTGGAGTCCCTTCCATAGTCGCCCTCCACCCCCATTTTCTCTAGGAGAGCGAGGCCGGGAAATGACGCTTCCCTCCCCAGAGGCTCCTCTCCTCATTAATGCAAACCCTGGGATTAATTTAATTACACACTCGCTAGTCTCCAAGAGGCTGGGCCTCAGAGGCGCCCGGTGGGATCACGAGTTGCCCGAGGCTGCTGGGAAGGCTCGTCCTCCCCGGTGCCAGGCCCCTCCGGCGTTGCTGCCCCCCCGGACCCCCAACCGCACCCCCACCCCCCGCAGGCCCCACCTCGCTCGTTGTCCCCCACTGCAGGGCGCCCGTTCTGGGTGACCAGCTACTGACACGGCGCGGCTGAGCGTGGACCCAGGGCCCCGTGTCGCGGGGAGGCTGACCGGGCACCTGCGGGAGGCGGCCCGGGGTCCGGAGAAACTGCCGGGCTGGGCAGGCCTGGGGCGGGACCTCAGGGAGGGCCCCCGGCCCGGCCGGGGGGCAGTGGGCAGGGGCAGCCCGGGCCCCCGGCCCTGCTCCTGCCTCCCCCGGAGTGACATGTGAGTCACCTCAACGGCTGGCTGTGCAATGTGAAGATGCAATAATTTAACCGATTCTCCTTTTTGTAAAAAAGAAAAAGAAAAAGAAAAAAAAGATGGCTCTCTCTTTTTAAGCAGATTATTTGAAAATGAACAAGAAATAGCGTGAATAAATAAAAAAAAATCTCTTCTTCCTCGGAGGAAACAGCAGCAGCACCGGCAGGATTTCCTGGCCTCCCTCCGGACTTTGTTTCCACACTTAGATTTGTTACATGCAGCGGCACCTGCACCTGTAATTTTGTGTCCAGGTCGCTCTGTCAGTGTTGAAGCGTTTCCCACGTTGCTCAGGGGAGAAGCTCTTGCCGAACGCCATCCCAGTGAGGGCAGGGTGTAGCTCTGCTCTGCTGGGCCGGCGGGTGTGTGCAGGTTTGGCCGCCGGGACACCGTCTGCTTTCTTCATAATTAGAGTTAATTCTTTAGGAGAAATGCTGCTGGGATGGCCAGATGATTCCAAATAGTTTAAGACTCACATGCTTCTTGCGAAATTCTAACGAAAACCCACACCCCCCAGTGGCCCGACGTGTGCTTTGTTCTCTGCAGCTGCCCGGGGCAGGGGCAGACGCACGCCGACGGTGGCTGGGGCCCCGGGCCTGTGTCCGCGCGTGGCAGTGGGGAGGGACAGACAGCTGGCTGGCCCGTGGCTGCGGCCTGCGGGCCCTGGAGTCTGGTGCTGTCGGGGCGTGGTTGTCGGCGGGGGCGGCTGTTGCTGGTCACTTGGTCTGTGTCCCTCTTCTGGGGCTGGCTCTGTCCGCACACTTCTCTCCTCCCTGCTGTCCTGGGAGCTGGGTAGGGAACCGGCTGTGGACCGTGGCTGAGGCCACGGCCGGCGCAGACAGGAGCAGTGGCGCTTCCCACCCACCTGCCCGCCCGGCTGCCTGCTGCCTGGCGAGGACGCGGAGGCTCGCGGGCAGCCAACTGCGTCAGAGGAGAAGGGAGACGCAGGCAACTCCTGACCGCCCTCTTCCCCTGCCCCCAACCCCCGCCCCCCGAAATGGCAGAAAGAGGCAACACCGTCCCTGTAGCCTGGGGGCCGTGGGTGGGCAGCGCGCCCACCATCCGAAAAGCCTCCGTGCTGTCCAGGGCTGTGTGTGACTTGGTGACCTGATAGGGCCAGGGGCCCCCCTCCTGAATCCAGGGCTGTGCCTGGTGGCACTGTCTCGTGGTGGGGGCTTCAGGGAGCAGGGAGCTGGCTTGCGGCTGTGCCCGCGGTGTGGGCAGTACAGGGGCGTCCAGGGGTGAGGCTTGACCAGGAACCGCCTCTTCTTGACCAGGAGCTTCTGCCCGCTTCTCTCCGCGGTGCTCTGAGCGGCCGGGCTCGGGCTCCGAAGCACTGACCTTCCGGGGCGCCTCCGCTCATCCGCCAGCCCGTGGGGCCATTGTGTTCCTCGTGGCCTCCTCGTCTGGGAAACGGGGACAATGCCTGCTTGACCTTGCCCGATGCACGGGCTGCCGTGTGTCACCCGGGGTGGGTGGTGGGTGCTCCCGTCCCCCACCGACCCCACCTTGGGGAGGCCAAACGGGGCCTCCGTGTCAGCCTGCGCGGCCGAGAGAACTGGGGGCGCCTTTGCAGTTTATCTTGTACGTCGTTTCCCCGCTGGTATCCCGGGGACTGTCCTGCCACCAGCATGTTGGGCGCACGCGGGTTTGGGGAGCCTGGCCTTACCCCGGTCCTTCCCTGTGCCCTGCGTGCCCGGAACACCAGGCCTTTCCCATCAGGCCTGTTAGTGTGGGTGGGATGTGGGAAGGCACATGGGAACTGCTTGCCAATTTTGGGTGACTGAGGAGTAAACGGAGGCTGAGGCCAGGCACGGGGCCGGGCCGGGGGGTAGACTGTAGTGACCCTGAGCCAGGGAAGGGTGAGAGCAAGGCCTCGGTGCAGCTGCAGCCGCCCAGGCTGGCCAGGGGCCGCTGCCCAGGCTGGGGGGCGGGGGTCCGCCGGGTCTGGGCATGTGCACAGCGTCCCCTTGGGGCGGCCTGTGGAGCCACGGCCTGGGGTCCAGCCTCACCGCCGCACTGCCCCGCGCCATGCTGTGGACAGGCCCCTTGCCTCTCTGAGCCCTGACTCCTTGGCGGTCGGAGGGGCTGTCCAGGGGGCGAGGTGAAGCTGGTGTGGGGAGCGCCTGGCCCCAGGGCCCCGGCAGAGCGGGCCTGCGGTCGCCCAGTGCCACCCCTGGAGCTGTGTGGGCCGGCCTGGCAGGGAGCCACTCTCTGCTGTCTCTACGTGGCTCCGGATTCCTGAGAGGTGACTGGGTGGGAGGGGCGGGTTCGGGTCCCCAGGAGTGAGTGTGTGGGCGGGGATGGCCCCTTCCATTCCTGCCCAGGGCTTCCTTCTGCTTAGGGAGCACAGCGGGGAGGGGTGGGCACACAGGCACCTCTGCGGGCAGCCTTGTTGGTGGGTCGGAACTCTTGGGGCCTGGACCGAGCCCTGGTTCAGGAAGGTCATGGCATCTTGGGGCGAGGGCTGCTGCCGCCCCAGCCCTGCTGGGTGCCAGTGGAGGACATTCCTGTCATCCACGAGGACGCCAAGGGGCCAGGCTCACTGGGCAGTGCCTGCCATGCGCTGGAGGTGGACAGAGGCTTCTGTTCCCACGGGTGTGTGATGGTCCAGCTTGTCCTCCGGCAGCCTCCAAGCCCCCTGGGCCTCCCCAGGAATGTTAAAAGCCCGGTGGGGTTCCTCCCCGTTGTTCCCGAGGCGGTGGTGTGGGGGATTACGGAGCTGGCTTTGGTCGAGGGTCTCGTGCCTTCCGAGATGAAGGGTCGGTGGTGTGATCTGGGGAGACCCTGTGTCCCGCTGGGGAGAGCACGGGGTCCAGGCTGGCATGGGCTGTGTGAGCTCAGTGGGGTGCTCGTGAGGACAGGGGACACACAGGCTGCCCCTTCGCACGTGGCTCCTGACCGGCCCTGCCTTGCCCCTCTGCGCCTGCACCTGCGCCTGCCAAGGTGGTTTGGCGCCCCTGCCTGCCCTCCCCCCCTGCTCGGCCTCACCTTTTCCGTCGGGGGCGTGGGGAGGGCGGCCCTGCCCCCGTGACAGAGTCTGACAGCTCACATGCCCCTCGTGTCGTTACAGACCCCTCGTCCGCCTACATCAGACAGCTGGAGACCAAGGTGAAGCTGCTGGAGGGGGACAAGCTCCTTGCACAGGTAAGCTGTCTGCGGCAGGTGACAGGGCCGGGCCCCCTGCACCCCCGGGGCCACCCGCCCACCGCTCCCGGGCCCCCTCTCGCGGGCTTACCTGGGCGCCCCCCGCCCCCCTTCATGCCCACGACCTCCCATAACCTGGCCCGCCCCTCCCGCTCCAAGTCACCTCCTGGAACGCTGGCACCTGCCCCTTGCTCCACGGTCTCCGGGGTCCCTCTGTCATACCCTTTCACTGTCCTTTCTCCAGTGGCCTTCAAGCTCCTTGGGGGCCATGCTGGGCCTCTCCCAGAGAGGGTGTGGATACACAGTCGCCGAGGAGATGGGTGCTTTGCCCCGTGGCAGACGGGTGAGCCAGGGCCCCGGAGCGGGACTGGCACGCCTCTCTCAGCCCCATGGGGAAACCTGCCTGCCCCCGCCCGCCAGGCCTTTTGGGGCCGGGGTCCCCCCTTCTCCCTCCTGGGCCGGGCCGGTGCCCGCAGAGAGATGAAGTCACGTCGCATCCCCAGCACGTCCCCAGCACAGGGACGGCAGGTTAGAGGCCTGGCGGCGAGGGCGGAGCAGGGCCATGTGGCTGGGCCACAGTGGGCGGGCCTGCCAGCACGAGGGCCTGTCCGGCAGGGGCCGGGTCGGACGGCTGCTGTCGTCAGCCCCCGGGGGCCAGCTGGCTTGGCCGACCCCTCTAGCCTCTCTGTCCCTGGTACCCATCCCTGGCTTCATCTAACCCCTCTCCCCCACCGCGCCCCTAATCCATAAGTGGCCAGCCGGCGGGGATGCCCAGAGCATGTCTCTGGGAAGCAGCCCGCGCCGGGGGCGGGGTGGGGGGCTCAGCTGCCTGGTGCTGTTGCTAGGCGACCGGCGGGCATGGTGCCGCTGCCCTGCTCAGGAAGCCCTCGGCACCCTCTCTGCTCGTTGGGTGGCCGGGGGCTCACGGCCGAAGCACGGTGCACCGCCCCGCGCCTCCTCGGCCCAGCCCGGGGACAGCTCCCGCAGCCCACCAGCACCCACCCGGAGGAGCACCTGCTTGGGCTGGGGCTCCCGCACCCCGACCCCCAGCTCAGGGGCAGAGCCCAGGGTTAGACTGCAAGGCTGGCCTGTAACTTCGTGCGTGGTTAAGGCTCTGCCTTGTGTGGGCTCCCCGGCAGTGAGGGCAGGGAGGGGCTGGGGCTCCCGAGACCTGCCGACCCACACGGACTTGGCCTGGGTCGGCCGATGTGGCTAAGGCGGGTGTGAGGTGGGCTGTGGGGGCTGGAGCAGAGGTGACGGAGGGGACCCCGGGGTGACAGGGCAGCCTTAGGGCTCAGGGTCTCTACCTGGGAGCAGGCACCCCCAGCTCGGAGGGGAGGGAGCTGCCCCAGCCACTGTGCGGCGGAGCGAAGGCCAAGGCTACATCTGGCGGCGGTGTGAGTGTGCCCCGATATGCCCTTGCTCTGTCCCGTTGTCCCCTGGAGAAGCCGGGGGAGAGCTTGAGCTCTGAATATGGGACGCAGTCCCACAGTCCAGCTGAAGTGTTGCTTGGTCCCTGACCCCCGTCCCCTGCTGTCTCAGGCCACGTTGTCCCAGTGGGAAAACATGCCCCAGCTCCAGGTGTGGGACCTGGCTGTGAACGTGTGGAAAACACGCATGTGCTCAAGCCAGGAATGGCAGCCCTTCGTCTTCCTCCCACGGGCACACCTGGTTTCACAAGGGAGCCCCCCCCCCCCAATCTGTGTCCCCTGGCCCCACGCCCATGCGTGCAGAGATGGCAGTGGACAGGGGCCCTGTGACTGGGATGGTGGGCGGATGGCAGCCGCTTCCCCCAACCCAAGTCAGCTCTGCCCCCTCCCAGGGGTCAGCCTGGGGCTGCGGCCTGGCAGCAGCACCATGAGGTTCTGTCCCATTTGATCCCACGCCTGGGCCAGGCCCACCCTGCTGACGTCGTCAGATGGGGGGCGCGGACCCTCGGCCCAGGCCCATGCCTGCGAGCTGCAGGCAGTTAGGTCGGGGCTCCGGGACACGGACGGGCTTTTGCCTGCTGGTTGCCGGCGTGGGAGAGGGGCCGGGAACTCAGAGACCACCCAGGGTGGGCGGCCAAGGGGCTTCTTTCTGTGGAACTTTCCTTCCTTCCTCAACGAAGGCTTGTGAGGCTGAGCTGCTATGGCGGTGGCGGTGTGAGCTCGTGTGTGTCATGGGGGGCAGCCCTCCTGGTCCCCTCCCTCATCCCTTCCTCAGCAGCGACTCTGCTGCTGGGCCGGGTCCCTCAGCAGGTGGGGGTCAGGAGCCGGCAGCTGCGCCGGGCGGGGCGCTGCTGGTGCGCTGAGTCCTCCTGCCCTTGCCCGGCCCCCGATCTGCAATCAGCGCCAGCACCTCAGGGCCAGAGGTGTGGGCCGAGCCCCCCGGGTCACGGGCAGGGCTCCTGCCGCCCCGCTGCCCGCTGTCCCCCGAGCTTGGCCTTGGGGGTGTGGGTGGGTGCTGCTGGCCGTAGAGGCGGTCCCTGTTCTAAGTCACGCAGGAGAAGCGACAGGGAGAGGAGGCCCCGCTGCTTGGGGCTTCCTGGTGACCGTTCACACCTTGCTCGCCTTTGAACTCCTTGGGGGCTCAAGTGGCACCAGCCTCAGAAGGATCCTCAGGCCACTCCTGTCCCCGGGCTGTGTTTGCTCACCTGTAAACGGGACACCCACTTGGTGTGTAAGGAACCACCTGCTGGGTGTGTGGCCGAGGGTGCGGGGGTGCCCAGGCGGTGGCCTGCCCTCGGGGGCTCACTGTCCAGCCTCACTGTTGTCCCGCCTGACCTCCTCCCTGTCCCGCCCAGCAGGACTCAGGCACACAAGGCACTGCTGGAGGACAGTAGAGGCAGGGGGAGCCGTGTGGTCAGGCCACGGTGAGCGGGCTGGCCTTCTTCCGCAGGGGTCCTGGGAAGATGGGGTTTACCAAGCCTTCCTGCCCCCGGCTCGGGCGTGGCTCCTGCCAGCAGCCTTTCCAGCTGCTGCAAGTGGCTTGGCGCTTGTTCCGAGTGCTCGGCTCTGTGGCTGCCCGCCCTTGCCGATGGGATCACGATCCTCCCATGGGGAGCCTGACCCTGTATCTGCTGGGCTGCCAGCTACTCAGGGACTGGGCATCAGGGTCTGAGTGGTCCTATCTGTGTCTCCCATCCCAAGAATAGCTGGGCTGAGTGGATGTATCTCGGGGAGCCCCTGTCTGCCCCCTACCCAGAGTCCTAGGTCAAGAGGGGAGGCTGGTTCTTGCCCAGAGAAGGGAAGGTCTGCTTAACCAAGGGAGAACTACTTTAAAAGGTAGTGAGCACATCATCTTCGGAGGTAATCAAGTGATGGATGGATGACTATATTTGGGAACCTTGAAGATACTGCTGCCGTGGGTGGTATTCTGGCCTCGGTCACATGAGCTCTGGCTTGAGAGATTTTATGGCTCTGGCAGTTAAGTCCTGTCACTGAAACCGTTGCACAGAAATCTCCAGCTCTGCACAGTGAGGAGTCCGCCTGCTCGCAAAGGGCTGGAGAGAGCGGTGCTATTCTCTGAACGATCTTAAGAGGATGTGGCTTTGGGGCTTGGGCGGGAGGGCAGGGAGCCTGCACGGATTCCCACTTCCCACCGCCCCCCTCTCCCCCCATGGCCTCTATTTAACTCCAAAATAGCTTTAATTAAAAATGTGCCAGAGTGTTCACAGGCGAAATTACTGTATTGCAGTTCGTATTTTCTTTCTCCCGTCAGCTTTACAATTTCATCAGCACAGCTGCTTCCTCGGCGCTGATTCATCGCGGCCCCTGTGCACGTTATTATTTTTCCTGCGGGTTGTCTGGGCCCGGCCCTGCTGGGATGCGGGGGGCTATAATTGGTGCGGGGGGCCTGGGCTCTGTCTTTCCCTTGGTTAAGGCCCCTGCTGGGCTGGTAAATGAAGCCTCTGCGTGCACCCAGGAGCCCGCTTGGCAAAAGCGCAAGGAGCCCGTGATGCCGCCTCGCACTGGGCGAGCGGGCGGCCGCCTGCGGGGGTGCGGGCGGTGGTCCAGGCCTGAGGCTGAGCCGCCCCGAGCCTGCCCGCCCCCTCCCTACTCCAGTGCCCCCATGCTGCCAGGCCACGCAGGGTGGATGTGATCCCAGGATTTACACCAAGCACAGATGGGGAAACTGAGTCCTGGTTGGGCAGATTACTTAGCGTGGGCGATTGTATTAGCCTACCAGGGCTGCCGCAACAAAGAACCCCATGCTGGGCAGTTTAAACCAGTGAACTGTGTCATCTCAACGGTTCTGGGGGCCGGAAGTCCAAGATCAAGGCAGGCACGGCCCCTCCCGAGGGCGAGGACGGGAGGGTCGGTCCCAGGCCTCCATCCTTGGCTGAGACCAGATGGCTGTGTTCTCCCTGTGTCTTTACAATGCCTTTCCTCGTGGGCATCTGTGTCCCAATTTCTCCTTTATAGGAGGACACCGGTCACGTTGGGTTAGGGCCCGCCCCGATGACCTCGTTTTCACTTGATCGCCGCTGTGAAGACCCACCTGCAAATCAGCCCCATCTGAGGTCCTGGGGGCGCGGACACCAGCGTGTGGACTGGGGAGGTCCCAGTTCAGCCTGCAGCCTTGCCGCTGTTGGCCTGACGTGTAAGAAGGCGGCTTTGGGTCCTGGAAGAATCCCCGGCCAGCTCTCAGCTGCCGTGTGGCTTAGGCAAAATCCTGTGTGTGTGGTGCCTTGGTCTCCTTACCTGTAAGATGGATGATGGCGAGGCCACTGTGTCACCTGGGGCATGGACAGGAAGCTGGCCCCTGGGGACGCCTTGGGCAGTGGCTTGTCTTCTCACCTTCTCCTGGTCCCAGAACCTGGGATGCTTCAAGGTCTGGCAGGTGGCACCACCTGGCCTGTGGCTTGGGCCTGCCCGGCCCCGAGTGAACCGCTCCTCTGTCCCTTGTCTGAGTTTTGAACCCTCCAGGCTGGGGGAGAGGGGACAGGCCAGTGGCCGTCTGAGCCCATTTCCCAATCCCTTGAGGAGGACTGGCCATCTGGTCAGTGGGTTCCCTTGCCCAAGGCCTCTGGAGATGTGGCCCTGTGAGATTTCTGCAGTGGCAGCTCCGCCCGCGGGCTCTCTGGGACTACAGGCTCCGGGCCACCCTGCCCCACCCGCCTGTTTGGTGTTTGGGGTTGGCTGTGCGTCCCCGCCCGCTTTGCTGCGGGCATGTGGCCTCCCTAAGTGCCTCATTAGCAGAACCTCAGAGCCGGTCCAGCCTCTCCTCAGCCAGGGAGAACACCCCCTTCCGGCACCTGAGCAGATGGTCAGCCCAGCAACACAGGCAGGAAGACAGTAGGGGGTTCTCCTCTGTCCCCTTGCCTGAGGCGTAACCCATGTCCACGGAGAGCCACACAGGAGGACCGGGTCAGCACAGCAAGAGGCTGTGCCCGGGCCTACAAGCCAGAGCTAGGCTCCTATCCCCAAAGGGCTGCTTACCAGCCCAGTGGCCTTGGGCTGGTGCCTCCATTTTCCTGTCTGCAAAATGGGGACACATGATGTGCCTGTCCCAGGATTCAAGGGCCAGTCGTGGGGAACACAGAGGGCTGTGGGCCCTCACCTGTGGACCATCCTGCTGCTGAATGTCCTTGCGGACCCCAATTCATGTGGAAGCAGAGACCCTGGAAGTTGGTGGGCTGCTCAGCTCCAACACGCCATGCAGGAGGTCGGAAGCCCACGGCCACCTCCTTCCTTGGAGGTCCTGCGGCCTCCCCGGGGGCCCTGCGAGGGCCGCGGTGTGCTGGTGGGGGAGACCCGGCCCGCAGGCCCCACCAGTTGCAGGCCCCACAGTCCTGGCCGGGGGCGCAGCAGTGCCCGCTGAGAGCAGACGCGCTGCGGCCGCACATCAGAGCGCCTTGGTCGGGGGAGCCCGCTGGGCCCCAGCCATGTTCTTAATGGCCTGCAAATGAGTTCTCTTAAAATTAAAGAAAAAAATAAGAGTAAAGCAGGTAGGTAGGACCCCCCCCAGCTCCTGCGAGGGGCCTGAAGAAGAGCGGGGCGTGAGTCCCCCTCTGGTCTCCCTTAGCGGGCGGGGGTCTGGGGGCGCCCCACCCCACCCCGGCCTCTCGCAGGGGCAGCTGCATCCTGTGGGAGCCGTGGGGAGCGCTGTAAGGGGCGAGTCCCGGAGCCAGGCCTTGTTAAAACTGGCGCTTAAGATAGTGAGGCTCCTGTGGGGTGCCTGGGGGACCCCCCACTCCTGCCCTTGGTGTGGGGAACCCGCTCTGGCCAAGCGGAGGTCCTGGCGGCTCTGGGCTGATGGGTGTCCGGGGTGCTGGGTGACACCGCCCCTCTTCCCTTCCAGCCGCCCTGCCCCCACATCCGGCCGAGGAGCTGGCTTCAGGTAGAGCTGCCAGGCGGGACTCCGGTCCCCGGTGTTTGGGGTGGGGGCTGTTTTGAGTGCTGTGTGGTGCCCTGTCTGCTCTGGGTCCCCTCCCGGGAGCTGCTGCACGGGGCCCGCCCTGTGTGCCAGTGTCCCCCCTACCCTGCACGGACAACCCTGGGGTGCAAGAAGGGAGGGGGGGTTGGCCAAGGCCGCATGCGTGTGTGGTGGCTCCCAGCTGGCCCGGGCGCCTGTGCAGGGACCCTGGGGCGCAGTGCTGGGCGCTCCCCCTAACCTGGGAGGCGTTACTGCTTTGCGAAGCAGGGCTGGAAAGTGTCCCTGGGGCCCAGTCCTGAGCCCCACCCTCCCTGTACCTGGGGTGACCCCCTCTGTGGGGGTACTGCCCCTGGTCATTGCATGCAGATTGGCCCGGGGTCCTGCGTCTGGTGTCCCGAGTGGTCCCCTGCGAGCAGGCTGCAGGGTGGGGACAACCCCCACCCCCCGCCCGGGCGCACGCTCACCCTGGGCCCCTGGGCCCCTGCCCCCCTGCCGGGGAGCACACAGTCCAGGGCCCGAGCCCTCTGGGGCAGGAAGGAGGGGCGAGGGGAGCCGCCCCCGCAAATCCTGAAAGGGGGCCTGCCCACAGCTGCCAGCCCCCTCGTGGAGCCCCGTGCCGTGGCCGTTCCTGGGGCGTCCCTCTGACAGCGCTCCCAGGTGTTGCGGGGGGGACTAAGGGAGTCCCTGCAGCTGTGTCGGCAGAAGCCCTGGAGGGAGGCTGCTGGCCGAGGCCTGGGGACCTGGGGCGGCCAAGCTCACACAGCGGGCAGCATTGTGGTGGCAGCCTTGGACAGAGCCCGGCGGGGCACAAGTGTGCACCCGGAGGCCCCGCAGCCTCCTTGGTCTCCTCCTGGTCCCCGGGGCTCCCTCTGTCCTTGGGGGGGTCAGTGCCGTGTTTGTAGTCCTGGACGGTTTCCTTCCCTTTTAAGGATTCTGGAAATCCTGTTCCTCTCCTGCCGGGTGTGTCAGAGCTGACCCCCCTCCCCCGCTTGGGGGACTGCAGGCCTGGCAGGCGCTCTACCCAGGGAACAGCCGTGCCTCCACCCACTAGGTACAGGCCCAACCCCCCCTCGCCCCCACCGGCCATTTCAGCTCCCTTCTCAGCGAGGAAAACCTGGGGCTTTCTTTCTTCCAGGGCACTGACGGGCAAATGCCAGGATTTTAATTTGGATTTAAGTGCCATTATGGCTCCTCATTTCAATGCGTCATTAGTCACGTTGCCCCTAATGAGAGATTGTGCGTTTTCCCACCAGCTTTGCGGCTTGCTGATAAAGTTCTGTGGACGTGCAAATATTTATAGATGATCACTGAAGGCAGGGGTGGGAATTGAATGCTGCTAATTAAAAACTCCCCCACTCCCACACATGTACCTCCTCCCAGCAAAACTATCTGGGGGAGGGAGGAGACACAACCCCGTGTTTTGAGTAACAGCATGTGACCTGGTTCAGAACGCATTTGGTCCAGGGCCAGAGAGGCTGGGAGGAGGTGGGACTCAGCCCAGAGCGGAGCCCAGGCTGCGTGTGCGGAGGGACAGGGCAGGCTCCGGTGCCTCTGGTTAACCCAGGCACGGCCGCCTCCCGGCGCATGGCAGTCCCATTTTATGTGAGATCGATGGTCATGCCCAGGGTCTCCCTAGGGAGAACCTGCCCCACTTTGGGCGCCACCAAAGGAGTGAGGAGCAGGAGGAGGGGCCCCCCAGGCGTGGCTGCTGCGCCCTGTCCTGCCCCTGCCCTGGCTGGCCTCCTCCCCTCCAGCATTTGTTTGGGTAACTCAGCAGCCCGCTGATTGATGGGACATTCCCCCTGCATATTATCTGCCCAGCGGCATTCCCTCAGTTGCTTTGAAGTCGAAAAGGGTGATCAGGCCAGAAATACCATGAAAGGCCCGGAAGGCCTGGCTTCTGCTCAGCGGGACCCAGGGCCTGCGTGGGACTGAGCACGGCCCCTGCCTTGTCCCCTCCCTGTCTTGCCTGGGTCCCAGGTCCCAGCCCCAGCTCCTGCCAGAAGGAGAGGGGGAAGGGCCAGCTGTGCCCTGAAGGGAACTATATCAGGCCAAATAGGTGTGTTCATCATTCATTCATTCGCTGGTTCCTCACGCACTCACTCACCCCTCCCTCCCACCCTCCCTCCTCAGCTCACCTGGGTGTCAGTTAAGACCCCAGCTTGCAGTGGCCCCTCTGAGACCCGGGGCCTGCGTTTGGGGGCTCCTGTCCGATGGAGGCTGAGGGGCACCCCAAGCAGAGCATTGTGCGGGGCCCGCCTGGCAGCCAACCCCGGCACCTGTGGGAGGCAGGAGGACTTTCCTGCAGAAGGGGGGTTCCGGAGGGCGCGGGGAACCCAGGTGTGGGATGCTGGAGCCGAGGAACGAAGGTCAAGGTTGGGAGAGCGCATCCCGTCCACTCACCCACTCACCTGTTCACTCACCTGCTAACTGGCGTTCGTGCAGCATAGGGCGCAGGGGCAGGGGAGCAGGAGGAAGCGCCTGCCTGGATGGGATGTAAGAGTCTGCGGGGGCTGGGGAGCAGGGGGGCAGGGAGAGTGTGGGCAGGGGTCCCCCAAGCCGATGGCCAGCGCAGACCACAGCTGTGAGGAGGAGCTGCTCCGGGGGCCCGGCTCGTACTGATGGGCACAGTCTTCCCCAGTCCTCTGACCGCACCCCCCGCCCCCCGCCCGGCTCCCCGCGTCTAACCTCTCTGCCCCTCTCTCCCGTGCAGCAGGCAGGCTCTGGAGAGTTCCGGACGCTGCGGAAAGGCTTCTCCCCATACCACTCGGAGTCTCAGCTCGCCAGCCTGCCCCCCTCCTACCAGGATGCCCTGCAGAATGTAAGTGCCCCTCCCCCAAGAGCCCCACTGTTTCCCCGTGGACCTGGCACCTCCGGAACCCTTGGCCCCCATCCCAGCGGAAGGATGGGGCTCAGACCCCTTGGTGACCTCCGGGGCCTGAGGACGGTCTGTGGCTGAGCTGGGTCGGAGAGGGTAGCGGGTCAAGGCTTGGTCCCTCCCTCTCCCATCTTCTGGAGCTTTGCAAGGGCCAGTGTGGAGGTTTGGGGTGGAGGCTCCCCAGCTTGGGGCGACGCTGTGGCAGCACCAGGCAGTATCCGGAGGCCACGAGAGCAGCTGCCCAGGCCCCGCTGTCGTCCTCCTGCGCAACTCGGCGGCCTGCGTCGCCCCTGAACGTGGTGGGGAGGGGATGCGGCTGGCGCTGGTGCTTCGGGTGGGGCTGGGTCGCTACCCCGGGCTCTGTAACGAGGCTGGGTATGGGGGTCATGTGCTGCGGTTATCCACAGGGGCCTCCGGGTTATCCTGGGCTGTGACCCGCCCTGATGGGACACGGCGGGCGGCGTGGGGCCCACCCTCTGGGACGCAGACAGCAGCCTTGGGCGTGGATGTGTCTGTCAGGCCTGCGTGGCCTCCTGGGACCAGCATACCCCGGTCTCTAGGGGCAGAGAGTCCATGATTGGTGGCCAGGGGCTGGGAGGAGATTGAATGGGGGGGTTGTTAAAGGGTGCGGGGTGGCTTTTGGGGGTGATGGAAATTTTCTCTTGTGGTTGCACCTGCCTGTGAATGCGTTAGAAACCACTGCCCAAGTAGCACATACCCTCCTGAGCTCGGAAGACGATCGTAACAAGACCAGTCGGCGTTCACTGAGGCGGGGACCTGGCCTTCCAGGGCCGGCCTGACGTCGCTCTGTGGGTCCTGGCCCTGCTTCTCCCCGCCACCCCGGCCGGCAATGACCGCCACGGCGCCCCTGCAGGGCCGCGCTGGCCGCAGGGCTGGTGGACACCTGTGGCCAGCTGGCTGTTTCTCCTGGAGGCTCTCGCACCTCGCCCCTCACACCTCACCCAGGACCGTAGCGCAGATGCTGTGCGGACAGGACAGCAAGGCCGCCAACAGCAGATGCTCCAGATACTTATGCAGGAGCCTGTGGCTGAAGGAGGGTCCAGTCGCTTCATGCGTAAGGGCCCCGGGAAGCCCGTGGCCCTTACGCATGGGCATCTCCACACCATCTCCCCTCCCCCTTGGCCCATTCTGACGCTGACGATGGCGGGCGCTGTGTCCTGGTGCGGTCTCGGGGGTCTGCGAGCTGTCAAGGGCTCTGCTGTCCTGTGTCAGGCCTGCGGGTGCGAGCAGACGGAGCCGTGCCCACAGAGGGCAGGGCGGTGCCAGCGCCTGTCCCACCTCCGGCCTGCCCAGGGTCTCCCCAGCTTCTCCCCCACCAGGGTCACTGGCCCGGGGGGCCGTGGGGCAGGGCGCAGGGCTTCTGCCTCAGGCTGCAGCGGGGACACTGACCTCTCGGAAGGAGCTGTCCTCGGAGAGGGGGTGGTTTGCACCCATCAGCCTCCTGAGAAGGGGGATCAAGGCTTTTGGCTGCCCCTCGGGGAAGCTGGTCTCCCTATGTTTTTTGTCAGTGGACTTTATTTTTAAACATATAATTCAATGGTTTTGAGTATATTCACAGATGTGTATAATCATTAAAAGAGATTTTAATCGCTGCCCCCCCAACACTACCCCTTGGCATTCCCTCCTCACTCCCCTCTCCTTCGTCCCTGGGCAACTACGCATGGACTCTGCCCCTACAGATTTGCCAGTGCTGGACCCTTCACGTAAGGGGAGTCCTATGGTACACGGTCGCCTGCTTGGGACTGGGGTCTCTCCCTCAGCACCACGTTTTTGAGGGCCGTCCACCTGGCGTAGCATGTTTCAGTACTTAGGTCCTGTTTATTGTTGAAGGAGAGTGCGTTGTGTGGGTGTACATTTTGCTTACTCGTTTACCAATGGCCAAATGCCCAGGCTGTTTCCTCCCCCGCCCCCGTGTTGTGATTGCTGCCGCTGTGGGGGCAGTTCTCCACCGGGCACTGGTGGGGACGGAGGTGTTCATTCAGCTCCCTCGGGGAGATGCTGGTCTCCCCTCTCTCGGCCCCAGTTCTCGAGTCCCGCAGGCCTGGGTTCGAGGCCCAGCCCTGTCGTTTACGAGCTGTGTGGCCTCTCCCCTCAGCCAGCCGATGGGGATGTGAAAAGCGGTGTCCTCCGAAGGGCCGTAGGAAGAACTCAGGGGGCGCCGGGAGTGGGAGGCCTCCCCGGGGAGCTGTGCTGGGGGGAACCCTGTGCTGGGGTAACAGCCCTGGCCGCGTATTATTGGTGCATGTTGTTTGTCCAGGGGGGACGTCATGTATAGGGTCCCATGGCTTCGCTCTGGCCCCGGATGCCGGCCAGGAAAGGGCTGCATTGCACAGCCTTCCCTGGCTGCTCCTGGCTTCCGCCTGCCTCTGCCTGCTCCCAGAGCAGGCTGTTCAGGGAGCCCCAGGTACAGGCAGGACACCAGGCCAGAGGTACCAGGAGCCGGGCGCCTGACCGTCCGCGTGTGGCTGTCGCCCCCTGCTGGCCGCTTGGGGGAGTGCAGCCTTCTGCCTGAGGTCGCTCTCACCTGTGTGGCCCGCCTTCCACCTGCCCGAGTCTCCCCAGAGCTTCCAGATCTTCTGGGCTCCCCTACATGGCAGACTGGACCTGGGCTGGGGTCAGGAGGCATCCCAGGGCTCTGCACACACGCTGGGACCCCAGGAGCCTTTTCGTTGTCCAGATGAGGAAACTGAGGCAGAGTAGGTGGGGCCCTGCCTCAAGTCAGAGCCAGCAGAGCCTCATTCAAGCCCATCTTTCTTGGGCCCCAAAGCTGTGGGGCCAGGCCTCCCTGGGGTCAGCGGCAGGGTGAGCCTGCAGGGCTCTGGGAGTAGGTGCAGCCTGGGCAGCAGGTGGGGAGAGGGGCGGGGGGTCAGCCGCAGGCAGAAAGTTCTGAGGCCTGGGGGTTCCCGCACAGCGTAGCCTGGATGGGCAGGACCCCAGGGCGGTGGCCCTCAGCCAGGCTCGCCGAGGCTGCCGGGGCCCTGGCAGAGCCATCGGGCACACGGAGGGGAAGGGAACGAAGGCTCAGAGAAGGGCGGGGCCTCTGCCCTGCTCCTGGGCCGCTGGGGCACTGCCAGTGCTTTCTGCCCGGTCCCCTCAGGCCCACTCCCAGCGTCTTCTGAGCACCTGGTTCCTGTGGGCCCCGGGGGCCTCCCCCTTGGAGGCGGCCTTGTCTGTGAGCTTCTCCCATGGCTCCTGAATCCAGGGCCCTCCTTGCAGCCCGAGGCAGAAGCCCAGCACCTGGCTCCCCGGCCCAGGGACCTTTGTGGGGAGAAGCTGGGGGCCCCTGGGCAGACACCTGTCCTCTGCCACAGGCAGGCAGGGTACTGGGAGGCTGGGTCCCCTCCTTGCCTGGCTCGTCCCTGCTTGCCGGTCCTCCAGTGTAGTATGGGAGTTTGCCACCTAATTGCCAATTAGAGCGTTTGCTGAGTCAGGTGGCTAGGTATCCAGACAGGGCTGGGAGGCAGGGCTCAGGGCCGGGAGGCAGGGGCTTGTAGCCGCCTTCGGGCGTGGGGCCAGGAGGAAACACCCTTTGGGCAGTGGGGGAGCGGGAGGGGCCTCTGGAGTCGGGGCGCCTGCGGTTCGCTAGGGGATCTGGGAGTCTCCGCCCTGGAGTGGCGGGCGCTGCCTTTACGGGCAGATGGGAGGCCTCGCACTTGCTCTGTAGAGGCGCCCTGTGGCGTGGTGGGGTCCAGGTGCCGCCCCTCAGCCCGGCCACTCCGCACACACCTGTCCCCTCTCCTCATCAGCCGCCCCTGCAGGATCAGAGGCGCGCCCCGTGCTGGCCACACCTGTGGTCGCCACCTGGGCCTCCTCAGGGTGCGCTAACCCTCGTGCTTCCCTCCCACAGGGCCCGGGCTGCCCCGTCCCCGAGCTGTCCTCGCCCCCCTCCGCTGGCTACAGCCCCGCGGGGCAGAAGCCCGAGGCAGTCGTGCACGCGATGAAGGTGAGGGCTGGCCCCGCCCCCTCTGGAGCCTGATCGCTGGTGACCTTGAACCCCACATGTGCCCCCTCGGGTGCGTCTCGGTGGGGACTGGGTGGCTGAGACTGCCTGGAGCGCTGCAGGGGAGGGACTCCAGGAGGCCAGGTGCTGGTAGCAAGTGTGCTACCTGCCTGCCCTCCCCACACCTGGGGAAACTGAGGCCTGGGGGAGTAGGGAAAGGGCAGGCACTCCCCTCAAGGTCAGAGTCATGGGCAGGGGCAGGCCCGGGGCTGGGACAGGCACCCAGGCCTCCCAGGCCTCCCAGGCCCAGCTGTGCCCGGCTCCTCCTGGGGCGAGGCCTCCAGTGCCTGTCCCCGGGACACATCCCTCCCCCCTGATGCTCCTGTCCCTTCCCCCGCCCCCACGTGCACACTGGGCGCTGTCCTGGTCCTCCTGCTCATTCATCATAAGCTGGGGCCCTGGGTCAGTCCGAGAGAGAGTCCACCTGTCCACGGTGGTCCTTGCTCCCAGGTGACCCACCCTCAGTTCTGCCCCCAGGGACGGAGTGGGGGTGCAGCTTCCCTCATGTGGTGTCTACAGTGTCATTGGGGTGAGAGGACACAACGAGGAGGGGCGACCTGGCCCTCAGGCCTCTCTGCACGCCCACCCCCGGGCTTGTCCCCTGCAGGTCCTGGAGGTGCACGAGAACCTGGACCGGCAGCTCCAGGACAGCTGTGAGGAGGACCTGAGCGAGAAGGAGAAGGCCATCGTCCGCGAGATGTGCAACGTGAGCACCTCCCAGGCGGGGGCGGGGCTCTCTCCGCTGGGCAGGGCGTCCCGGCCTGATACTGGGAGTGTGGTCGCAGTTGTCCCCCCCGGGGAAGGACCTGGGGAACGGGGAGGCGCTGGAGCCTGGGAGCCCTGGTCTGTCCTCACTGCACCTGCATCTCCCGAGAACGAGGTCTCTGCTCTTGCAGGTCGGTCTGTCCTGGGAACGTGCCCCTGGCCCCCACGACTGGTCTTCTTTACCCGTGCGTTCTGACCTCAGCCCTAGTCCCGGGTGGCTGGCTCCTGGCCGCCCAGTTGTGTGGGGCCCCTGGGACTGCTGGCCACACAGGTGGTGCTCAAGACTGGAGGTGCAGGGCACCCCTACTCCGTGGGCCTGAGGGTCCAGGTCTGCCTGGGAGGGACAGCCTCACCCCCTGAGCCACCTCACCGACACGGGTCCTCTCTGGACCCTGGCAGGAGTCAGCAGGGAGGGGTGGTGTGCAGGGGCTGAACAGGGCCTCCCGCGGGGCAGAAGGTTCCAGACCCCGCCTCCCCAAACCCCCGACGCTGCCTTCTGAGTCCATGGGCCCCACCGGACAGCCGCGAGGCCCACACCCCAGTGGTGACCGGTTCAGGTGGCCATGGGAGTGTCTCCGGGCCTCACGTGGCCTCAGTTTCCCCTCCTGGCCCCACGGCTCTGGGAGCGGGGGTTGGGCGGGCAGGCTTGGGGCGGGCCCACGCTCACAGCCCGCCTCCCCGCACAGGTGGTCTGGAGAAAGCTGGGAGACGCCGCCAGCTCCAAGCCCTCCATCCGGCAGCACCTGTCTGGGAACCAGTTCAAGGGGCCTTTGTAGGGCCTTTCCTCCGCGGACTCGGACCGCCCCGCCCGGGGTCCCTGGGGGAAGCGGCAGGCCTTCTGGCTGAGCCCCTGTCGTCTCCTGTGATGAACTGTACATAGGACGCTGCCTGCTGTGGGTCCCCCCTGCTGCCGGCCGGGCCTCATCACCCGCATCTCACACACCAGCAAACCGGGAAGCCGAGGGGCCGCCTGTCCGCAGTTCGTTGCAGTCCAGTGGCCTGGCAGCGCCTCCCGCTCTGGCCCAGGCATTGGGCTCCCTGGGCAAGAACGGAAGGCTGCTCTCGGACGCTGGGCCCGGGACCCTGCATGCTGGGCCTGCGCTGCCTCCACCCTCCACCCTGGCTGCCACCGCGCTGGGCTGGGGCCGCTGGCAGCTGGACCCAGTGCAGGCGGCACTTTGCACCCACCTGCTGTGACCTGAACGCTGGCTTGCTGAGCACTGGGTCCTGTGAGTCACGGACGGGGACCTCCCGAGGCCCCTCCTCGGGCCTGTGCTAGCTGCCGCTCCGTTTTGGCGTTCATAACCCCCCCACCCCAGGGTCACCCTGCCCTCTGCCGGCTGTGCCCTATCTTTTTGGGTGCTCCCTGCTCAGTGCCCGAGGCATTTCCATTTTCATTTTCATGGTTCTCATGAGGGACCAGGAACACACGCAGGCTGAGCAGAGTCCTCGGGCTGAGCCACACTTGCCCCACTCCCCAGTAGGGTAGCACTGGGTCATGCCTGGGCCTCTGGTCCGCCTGGTGTCATCCGCCGGAGCCTAGCCCCATCCTTGGTCACTGTGGACAGAGCTGCATGGCCGCAGAGACGAGAGTTCTGCCCTACGGAAGGAGCTGGACTCGGCTCTGGCTTGAATGTGCTCTGTGACCTTCAGCCACTCAGCCTCTCTCGGCCCCTGGTGCGAAGTGCAGTCTCTGAGGCGCTCGGCCATGCGTGTGGTTGGAGGCCATCAGCTGCAGCCTTCCTGGGCTCGCAGCATGCAAGCCGCGTCACCTGCAGGGAGGCCGCTGGGGGCTGGGCCAGGCCGGGCCTGCCCGCGCTGCGCTCTGCCGCCGTGTCCAGTGGGCGGCTGCCCCGCCCCTCCGCCCCTCCGCCCCTCCGCCCCTCCGCCCCTCTGCCCCTCCGCCCCTCCGCCCCTCCCACGCCCCCTGCCCCGAGCCCGTGCCCTCTGAGGTAGGGTGGGAGCATGTGGGCCGGACGAGACCATTAGTGTAAATGGTCGTGTCTACACTGTAAAGTGCAGTATGTGAGTCTTCAAATGTGTGAGGAAGGGAGGCCCAGAGGGGGTAGGTGGTCCGTGGTTCGCTGCCAGCGAGGACCCAGAGCTCAGAGGCAGGCAGGGCCGGGCCCCTGTCGGTGCTGCCGGGAGGCCCTGGCGTCCACGCACTCCATTCGGTCCTTGCCCACCCTGGAGCTCCCCAGTTCTGGCGCTGAGGGCCGCAGGGGCCCTGCGTGGCCACGGCCTTGTCCTGACACCTGGGAGGGACGGGGACCAGGTCCCAGCCGCTCCCAGCATCCGTGTGCCGCGCCGCTGGGGCGACACTCTCAGGGGAAAGGCGCCCGGCCCCCTCGTGTCCCGGGAGTGCTGAGGGGGCCCTGCCAATGGTCGCAGGCACGTCCCGCCTGCCTTGGGCATGACAGGGAGCCGTGGGATCTTTCCGGAAGGAGCATGCCGTCAGGGCAGGCGGGGGGCTCCCTGTGGCAGGCGGCTCCCTGTGGCGGGGGCGCGTGCACCTGGAGCGGGGTGAGCGCCCTTGTCCTCGGGCGCAGCGCTGCTGACTCCTGCCCGGGCGGGCAGCGGGCTGGCGGCAGAGGCCCTGCTCAGGTCTCGGAGTCCACAGAACCGCAGCAGCCACGGGGGCCCGGCCTGCTTCGGGGGGAGCTGCGTCTGGGAGCCCATTTGCCATGTTTGGATCAGGTCGGCTTTGCCACGACTGACAATAAGCTAAGCAATAAGGAAGGCCCCCTGGTGTCTGCAGGTCCTGCAGCTGCGCCCAGGCAGGGCAAGCCTCACAGGGACCTTCCCTTCTGGAGGGTGGCAACCCTGCCCCTGGGCTGCGGTGGCGTCCGGGGGGACGGGCGTGCGGGAGCGTGCTGGCCATGGAGGCAGAACAAGCTGGTGCAGAGGCCCGGCTGTCCCGCCCGTATCCCCACGCCAGCGCGGCATGGGGTGGCTTTCCAGAGCAGAACCATGCCGGTGACAGCCACCTCGCCAACGTAAGCAGCTGTTTAAAAGCAGCAGCTCTGCCTGACCCCACACCAGGTCCGTTCACAGTTGTGGGGTAGCGGGGAGCCTCCAGGGGCGGCCGGCCCTGTCGCTGACAGGGAGTGTGTGGGGTGACCCTCCGCCCTCGGGAACCTTAGCCCTGCAAGCTCACGGTGGGTGGGGGTGTTGGTGAGCTTGGTGTCCTTTCATAAAGGCCCCTTTCCTTTCCAAACCCACTGCTTCTAGATCCTGCAGCTGGGGGGCCAGCTGCCCCTGGCTCCAGGTCCCACTGTGACAGAGGCCACCCTTCCAGCCTCACCCTGGGGGCCAAGCCCGCTTGGATCGGTCTGCTGAGCACGTTTTTCTAGGGTGGCGCATTTTTACCCAGAAGTGGTTAGCTCCACACGTCAGTGTTTAAAGAGAAAAGTGACCTTTCACTTTTTTTTTTTTCCTTGAAAACTTGAGAGGAAACAAAATACTACTGATTTTTTTTTTTTTTTTTTTTAAAGAAACGACGCATGACTGCAGAGCGGTAGAGGTGTATATTTTTCATGATGTGGGGGAAGAACCTGTGCTGCTTTCTGAACAGGCCGGAACGTCTGGTTCCGTCCCCGCGCCGCAGGCAGCCGCGCTCTATTTTCTGTAGGACGTGACCCTGAGAACTGGGGCCGGCCCTCCTGGCTCCAGCCCGTTTCTACCTTCGATTGAACCCCTTTGATTTGGGGAAGAGCAAAAGAAATAGAACTTTTTGATAGTGTGGTAAAAACATTGAACTATTTTAGTACAAGGTAACAGAAGAGTGTGACAGTGTATACTTTGCGCTAGATAAATAAAGGCTCTTTGCAAGCCTCCTGGTGGGTGCGCAGTGCCTGTTTGTTGGGGGAGAGGGGCAGGGTCGCTGGGCAGAGGGCCGCAGCCCCAGACGCATCTCAGGAGGGTGGCAGCGGGGCACATCGCTGTGCCCCTCAGCATGGGTGGTTCAGACCAGCCTCTGCAGCCATAGGCCAGAAACAGGGCTTCCAATTCAAGCCCTCATCCAACCTAGGAGCCCGCGTCTGCGCAGGTAGGTCCGACAGCTCCAGGCTCCTCCGCAGAGCGCGCGGCAGGAAGCGGCGCGGGGAGGCTGCCCGGGAGAGGCAGCGTGGCCCTAGGGTCAGGAGGGGGATCCCGCCCACGGGCTGCAGCAGGCCCAAGCCCCACCTTCCACCAGTAACAGACAAAGGTTGCCGACTGCTTTTATTTGGATAACTGACTGCTTTTATTTGGATAACTGACGAAGGAGTCTCATTTGTAACCAAGATGGAATTCACAGTATGTTGTTACATTCACACTTAAAAAATATATCTCTATGTACAGGAATTTGCAGATCGATGTAAACATACATTACTTTCCAAGTACATTCCTCCCCTTCTTCTTGGAGGACAAAGAAAAAAGCCATCCAATCAGGCAACCCCTTCAAAATAGGTTTAATAAAGCAATAAAGTGGTTCTTCTGACCGACCAGGTGTCACAGGAGAGAACACAGAATGAAAGTGATGACAACAGCTTGACTTCAGATGGAACTGGACTATTTAAAATTGAGTATCCAGGAAAATTAGGCACTGATTTCTAGAAGGAAATTCACTCCTTACGGATGCTATTCCTTGAGCCAATATGGCTGGTTACATTTTCACTAGTATCAAGTCGCCTGGCGCAGGCCTTGGCCCTCAGCGGACTCCAGTGCGTGGCCGGCGGCCCCCACTCCTCTGTGGGAGGACCACTGTGCCTTCCCACTGACACTGTCTAGCATTACACAAGGTACCCTGCTGCTTACTCACTCCAACTACTCAAGTTGATTAGAAAAACTTTTGTTAAAAAAAGGGGGGAGGGAAGGCGTCAGGTTATCTCATCCAGGCTGCACGCCCCAGCCCCCCGACCGGTGGCATGCCAGGCGGAGGGATGGGCGGGGGCACAGGTGGCTGTCCCCCAGGGGGGACAGACGGAGGGGGGTAGCTAGCTGGGGGTAGGCCCAGGCCCGGAGGAGGGTGAGGAGGGACAGCGTGGGTGGGGGGCAGGCGTGGGGGCGGGGGCGGGAAGTTGGGGTTGTAGGTGGGTGGAGGTGGGGGGTAGCCTGGAGTGGGCGGCGGGATGGTGGGTGGGGGGAAGGAGGCTGGCGGAGGGGGCACGGGTGGTGGGGGTGGGTTGGGAGGGTAGACGTGGGGGTGGTAGGGCAGGTGAGCCGGTGGGCCATAGGCCGGGGGCAGGGCACCGTAGGCGGGGCCCTCGGTCTTCATCATGGACTGCAGGCTCTGGTAGCCCTCTCCGGACATGTAGGAGCTGCTGGTGGACATCCCGGTTATGTAGCTGGAAGGCGGCGGCGGCGGCGGCCGGTGCGGCAGCGGCGGTGGCTGGTGCACAGGGGCCGGGTGGGCCGGGGGTGGAATCTGGACTTTGGGGAGGTCACTGGCGTCCACGGGACCTGGCGGCTCGGCCTCACCTAAGGTGGCCGAGAGAGGAGGCTTCCGGTCTGCAGCAGAGAGGCCAGTGACTGACGGGGCTCCTGGTGCCCGGCTGGCGCGCCACATAGCGCCCTCCGCCCGCCCCCGCCCCTCGCCACGCAGGAGTCTGGGTCTTCAGCAACCCTGTCCAGGTGTGTGTGAATGGTCACACACCTGCAGGGCTCTGCTCCCCTACGCTGACTCTAAACTCACTTTTCCTGGGTAGTGCAGCAGTTCTGGATGTGAACATTCGCATACACTGAGAGCCTACAATATCCTCAAAACATCCAGTTTGTGAAAAAAGAGTTTTGAAAGCTGCTCGGTCCTTACTGTTTTTTAACATTTTGACTACAAAGTCCCCCTTCTAAAATCTTTGCCCAGGACTCCCGAGCCCTGCCCTCCAAAGAGGCGGGGAGGAGAGCTGGGCCCATGGCCAGGGGCCCACACTGACCTGGTGGTGGGTGGGCCGGCGGCAAGGGAGGGTGGGTGCTCTCGATCTTGGGGATTTTAGGCGGTGGTGGTTCTATGAGAAAAAAGTACATTAAAAAGTACTCATACCTCTTCATGTAAATAAACCTGTCATAGCAAAATAAACGAGGAATTTCTTTAGGGGGAAAGAGCTGGTGAGAACAAAGCTTTACGGGAACTTGAGGAAGGTCTTGGCTAAATCATCACATACTAATCCTTTTACGTAAAGGAACACAGAAATGCAACCCTCTGCTCTCCTACCCTCCCTCCCCTTTTCCACCAGAGGAGCCCTCCAACCACCGGAGAGGCAGAGAAATACCTACTGGCGCCCCCACCAGCACACGGAACACAAAGGCAGGCCCTGAACGCTCAAAGGAAACCGCCACCTTTTTATTCTTATTTAAGCACATCTTCAGTTTATTTTCTCTCACTAACGTGCCCTCCCAGTTGGCAGCTGGTCAGAGGCGGCACGTTAACTGGCACCAGCAAAGAACAGGAAGTGAGTGGCCTTGGAGCTGAGGCTGGGGCTACCCGGGGCAGCAGTCACCACCCACCCTTCAGGGGCTGAGCGGCTGCCTGTGAGCAGCATCCAGTGAGGGTGCTAAGTCACCCAGGCCTAGAGCACTGTTTACAAAGGTAGAGCGTGTACACTCACAATCTAAAGAGATCAACCTTTCTGTTCATCTGTGGGCTCTGGCCCTCCCTTCCGGAACCCACTCTGCCCAGGTCTGCTCCCCGCTGGCCTGATTTGCTTGGGTGTTGCTGACCACTTTCCTGGTTTCCTGTGTCTCACTCACAGGCTGTATTCGAGGTCTCTCTCTTTATCACCTTCCTAAGAGACCAAATGCCCTCTCTCTATGTTGCTGACTCCATGCCTCTAGCTCCTACCTCTCCTTCAAAACTGGGGCCGGCTTTTGAGCCCATGTGGACCCAGTAGCCAGCGCTCACAGGCTCGGGGCAGCCGCCGCCTCCACCTGTACCTGGCGCCCCGCCACCGCCCCTGCAGCGGACCCAGAGGGCAGTGGCCGACAGAAAGGCAAGGAGAACAGCCTGTGTAACTGCACTTTCTGGCAGTCATGTTCAGAAAAGGTACAATTAATTTTAATATTTAACCTGACATATAAAAAATTTGGTTATTTCAATGTATAATCAAAAACTTACTGACCAAATTTGTTACATTCTTTTTTCTTGCCAACTCGGAGGCCTGGCGTGAACGCTGGCCAAGGGCACAAGACCACAAGACCACAGGAGCCTCTGCGCCGCCAGCACTCGGCAGCCGCCACAGCGGGTGGCTCAGACTGCGCAGCTCAGCTGGGACCCACCTGCAGGCTGTGCCTGACACGCCCCTGCCCCTGCCCCTGCTCCTGCCGGCCACCACCCTGCCTCTGCCCTCGCCAGGCCTCACTCAGATGCTGGCGCACCCCTCCCCGCTCAGCGTGGTCCCTGGCCCTCCGAGCAGGCAGGCGCTGTCCTCCGTCCTATCGAACTTCAAACTTCGCTTCAACCAGTCTTCAGTCCTATCAACGGCGATGGCGACGCTCTTTCAGCGAGCGCCTCCTGTTCCAGACAGACTCCTCCCCATCACTCCCGACTCCCCTGCTCACCTGCCTCCTTCCACCTGAGGGCTCCACCCCCTCAGCCCTAGCCGCCCCCCACGGTCCCCACTGGCCGCCTGCCCCTCTCCCACCATCTGCTGCGCATCGGCTCAGCGCGGCTGTGCGTCCACTCCTGCGGGGAGCGCTCCCACTCCTGCGTCTCACACGGTTTTGCTCACACTCACTTGGGGCTAAAAAATTTATGGGCACTGAACTCATCATTCCCCCAAAGATCCTGAGAAAAACGCAGTTTACTGTAACTCGGAGATCTTAGCAGTTCAATAAGTAATTCCCTGCATCCTACACTGCAACTAGGCAGCAGAGACCTGGGGACCAGCGAACAGGGCCAGTGCCTTCCCGGCTCTGGACGGCAGGGCCGGGGGTGCAGAACACCGCCGCTCCCTCTCTCCTGTTGCCGCTCAGACGGCTCCCTCCTGCCGCTCGCTTCCCACACGGACACGGACACCGACACAGGGTCACCGACTGCGGGCTCTGCCCAGCATGTGCTTAAGAAGGGCTGTACGCGCCCCACCCACCTGCGGTCCCTTTACTCTCCACTGTGGCACACCTCACGAGTCTCTAACAACAAATACTGTTCAGCAGGCCTCCGACATTCGTAACTGCATTGTGTGCATGGGACTCAGAAAATTGCTATTGACACCTCTTATCAGAATATAAGCTAAAAATAGAGAATTGGGATAAACAGGGAAGACAACACACTTTTTCTGAGAGGCAGGGCCAAGTCTGTGATGGGCTCTAAGGTTAAATTTTAAGGCCGATCTAATCTGAATGGAAACGATTAAAAATTTGAAATTTTGATAGGCAGAAATACAAAGCTAAAGAACAGAACAGTAAATTACCTGCAGCTTTGCTCTCTTCTTTGGGAGAAACAACCTGTTACAAAAGAAAACAAAACGGTGACCCAAGCCCTTGGGGACAGTGAGAAAAGCGATGGTGCAGGCGTGGAAGGAACCCCGCGACGGGAGGCGGCCTCAGACGGAGCTCTGCGCCGGCCCCCCCAAAGGGCCTGCAGCCGCTGCAGAGTGCCGCTTCTTCCTCCCCGCCCCGTCTGACTCGGAGACGGGGCGCTGACCGTGCTGGTGCCGAGCGACCCAAGGGCCAGGCCCTCTGTGGCCCAGCCCTCAATGTGACGAGCAGAGTTACCTGACGCGTGTTCCCCCTGCACGGCTCCCTCTGGGGGCTGTGCGACGGCGGCCGCGTTCCAGCCAGGAGCAGACGGAGTGGCGCCCTGGCGGGGCCGGGCTCTCCCCTGACCACCTATGTTCTGGCTCCCCACGGACCCACGGCCCGCCAGGGAGGCCACACCCAGTGCCAGAGGCCACTCACCGTGGCTCGCTTCGCCTGGCGGGGAGGACTAGGCTGCGGAGACGGTTTCTTGGGCTGCTGGGCTTGCTGTGGCGGCGGCGGCGGCTGGGCTGACGGCTGCGGGTCCTTCTGCGGGGGCTGCGGCGGTTCGGAGCCTTGCGCCGACTGTGACGGTGGCACTGGTGGCACTTGTGGTGTAGATGGGAGCGAAGGGGGCTGCGGCAGCTGATGAGGCGTGTGATGAGGCATCTGTTGTTTTCCTTGTGAGTAAAGATCCAGGATTTGGTGGCAGATGTCTAAATGACAGACGACAATTACATTTACCACAAATTGATATTTTAAATAACATTTTACCTAGAAAATCAATCAGCCCATCTCCCTCTGGGCCTCCCACTCTTCCACAAGGACCCACGTGCGGGAATCCTGTTTGTGACTCATCTCGCGGCTGCTGTGCCCAGCATGGTGGGTCTTTCCAGGCCGCCACACCTCTGGGCTTGGACAGGGCGAACGTGAGAGCTGGAGTCCAAGCCCAGAGGCCCCTGAAGAGGGTTCACACAGGCCTGTCCGGGAACCCCCGCTCCCGGACTCACGCTCTCAGGGCCGCGCCGCCTGAATGCGGATGGAAAACCCCCCAGAGTGCTCGGCGTGCCCCGTACCTTCCAGAACATCCACAGGGACATCTTGCACAAACTGCTCCCACCACCTGCGGTACATGGGTTTGGAGGTCCACTCCTGAATTTCGAATTTGCACAGACGTCCTGCGAGATACATCACTGCCACCGCTATGATCTCGGGCTCCCACTGCAGTGACAAGGTCGTGCAGAGGCTAGTTCAACGAGAGAGAGAGAGGCGACTGACTTGGCTGAGCGAACGTCTGTGATTGGCTTGAGGCACGGGAATGAGGTGCTGCCTCTAACTGTCCATGTGCTGCTGCTTCTCTAAACACGTCAAATAATGTATTATACACATACAAAAGCAGCAAGTGCCTCGTCTTCCAAAAGCATCCAAGTAACTTTAACCACGGGCACCAACTGACCTCTTGGAGGGGCAGCGGGATTCTGGCACGTGCCGGAACTGCCACGCCAGGAGGCACAAATGGGCGTGGCCTCAGCGCTCCGAGCTGCGGGGCCCCAGCCACCAAGCTGTCCCTCCAGACGGCGAGGACCGTTCTCACAGGCTCCTTGCCGCTCCCTGGGCTCGGGAACGTCGCGGCTCTAAAGCCAGCACCCCGAATGGACCCCCAACCAAGAACCAAATGGGTTCCAGTATCAGGTGTCAAAATTCTCCAGGGTCTTGCTCTGGACTAGTGCTTCAGATGGGTGGGAAGAGTCCAGCGTCCCGCCCAGCATGAGGCGGCAGGGCCGTGCCTCTGCCCGGAGCGGGCAGTCCGACTCCAGCCCCCGCCCTGCCATGAACTGGCTCTTCAAGCTGGGCCAAGCCAGTTTAATCCAAAGTGAGAGGTTTGGATAAAATGACATTTGAAGTCCCTGCCCATCTGAAAACACTATAATTAAAGACTATGCTTTCAGGGATCATTTCTCTAGTTGGCTAAAAAACATTATAATTAAATCAACATTTAAACAAATGTACCTGTCATTGACAAACGTCCATGCCATTTGAACCAACTTTTGAATTTTGTTTTTATCACCTACAGGTGGAGGGAGAAAAGTGAGTTAGCAGAGGGGAAACAACAGCACAAGCAGCAACAAGCCCTGTCCCAAAGCCCAGCACAGGGCTCCCCAGGAGACAGGGCAGACGGTGGCCCAAGCCCCACCTCCTCTCTGCCCACACGCCCCGCGTTCATGGGACGCCTGGCTCCAAGGCCAACTGTATTAGGCTACTAAAAAGATTTTGACTCATCTTCCTGCTTCCTATCATTTGGCAACTGGATGACAGAATCCGTTTCTACATAAAAGGCACCAGTATTAACAGCCACAATACTGAGCTGTCTGCGCAAGCCACGGCCCGGGTGCTTTCCACGCCGACTCCTCTGCCTTCCTCTTCTGAGGAGCACAATCTCAGCGACATCAAACCATGACAAAGACTTGGTTTCAGAACAAGGAAGTCCTCTTCAGTAACTGTCTCTTACCTTTGAGTTGTTTCGCATATTTGAGCAGGAACTGGTATGGGTGTTCAACCTGTAAGTCAAACTTTATGGTCTGTAGTAAGATTCTCTCCAGGACCATGACTTCTTCCTAAAAATAAAGCAGATGTGGAGATGGTAGTTTTACTCACAGGTCTAAAACGGCATTTAAAAAGTGAGCTTTCCTATTTGTCTGCAAGTTGTAACTGTTTCTTGTGCCTTTTCTCCCCTCTCCCACTCAGGCACAATGGTAAACTCTGAAAAGAACTAAGAGATGATGAAACAATCAAAGCTAATTTTTAAAAGACACTGGAAACAAGATATTCTAAGAAATGTTATTGCTCTCCGTACACGAGCAGTCCCCTTCACAAAGCAGACCTCCGCCTCAGAGGCCGCACAGCCCGGCAGCCGTTTCCTTGCAGACCTCCAGGAACCGGCACCGAACACTTACTCAGGCGAGCAGCTTCCCGCACTCCCGCGCAGTGAGCCGTGCCAGCTGAAGATGTGTACGTTAGTGTGTGTGCGTGCGTGTGCGCGTGTTGGGGGCGGGGAGGGTACCATTTTTCTAAAAACTTTTTTCCTTTCTGTGTTGAAATCTTTCATCTATTTAATAAGATGTCCCAAGGTCATTTTCTGATTAAATCATTTTTAAAATTAAACCATCTCCTAAACTATCTACACACACACACACACACACACACACACACACACACAATCTTTCGTGTCCCCTGATGTTGCCTACTGCTGCATCAGCATCAAAGGGACTGAATATCTGAAGGGGTAGTTTCATGATTACTCTTCTTCTTCTAAGAGTTTCTTGTTTTTGCTCATTTCTCTACAAATTTCAGTATTTTATTTACTATCACTCTAGAAAAATGAAAGCTATTGATGTTCTGACTGGGAATTACCTGAATTTACAGAACAATTTAGGAAAATGGGCATTTTTTAACTATATTGAATCTCTCCATCGAAAATGTATTTTTTGTAATCTTTTCAGTACTTTAGTAGTTTTAAGGTATCTCCTCCCCACCTACAAATTTTTTATGAAGTTTATTCCTGAATATTTCATTTTAATGTTGTATTGTACTGGACTCTCCTCTTTTATTAAACTCTCTAACTAGTTAATGCCCATAAACAAGTATTTCATGAATTCAGCTTCTTGAGCTCTGTGCAGCCCACCTGCCTGGCACCTACAGCTTGGAGCACACAGGACACCCTGGGGCGAGTGGTCGGAGGGAACCACCTGCTCGCGACAGAGAGAGGGCCCGCTCTCCGCGGGAGGCGGGGCAGGCGGGTGGCCTCCCCGTCCAGGTGCGGCGCCGCTTCTCAGAGCGCACCTGCCGTTCCACCTCCACCAGGGCTCCGAACAGCCCGGCTGGGCTGAGGATTTTCTACCCTCGTCCCCCACACATTCTCTCTGGGAGGCTTTTAAAAATCCAATCAGAGATGCTTTCCCCTGTTTTTGTCACCACCTGTTTTCCAGAAGCTTCAACATAACCTTTGCCAAGAGAGCCGGCCAGCGCCCAGGCTGCAGCCCAGAGCCTCACGCTGCAGCCCGAGGCCCGGCCTCCCTTACAGGGCAGTGCGCGGGCCCCGCTCCTCAGGGGACCTTCCCTCGGCCTGCGCGGCCCGTCTGGAGCCTTGCCGGGGCTCCCGGGGCCAGCGTCCCACGGCGCCTTCAAACACTGGCGTTCATCACAGCTCTTCCTCGGCCAGTTCCGTAAATACTTTATTAAAATCTCTCTCACCACTCAACTGTAAAATCCATGAGAGCAAAGTCCATGTCTATTTTGCCACCCATTTTGTGTCTAGTATCTAACATAGAGGCTGGAGCAAATATTTGTTCAATACGTGAAAAAATATAAAGGGTGGGAGAACCACACAGTTAAAGCAAAGCTAATTAAGGCAAAAACGTTCCACATGAATCACAGTCTTATTTTTCTTAACAGCTTCCAATGCCTCCCCAAAAGGACTGCACCCGTCCCTCGGCCAAGGGAAAGGTCCTCCACAATGTCTTTGCGGCTCCAGACCTCGGGCCCTGCTGAGGCCCCTCACCCCAGCCTGTGTGGGAGGCTGCGTAGGGGGAGGAGCAGGGCCCTGCCCCCCTGCCCACGGGGGCCAGGCTGCGCCCTGGGTTTGCAGTCCAGCTGGCAGGGCTGTCCCCCGCTTCCTATCTGCTGGGGCCCAGGGCCCGTGGCGCCCCAGCCCGCTGCTCCCGCCCTGGGTCTTGGTCTCCTGGCTTGATGGGGAGAGGGTAGAGACAGGATGCAAAACGGGACTTCTCCAAAGGCCCCTTGAGCAGCACACACCAGCTACTGCCACTTGCCCATGGCCCTGCCAGCACCATGCTCCTAACGCTGTGAAAATCAAACACGCACAGGCCCTGCAAACGTTATCTCATGGCTACGTTACTTTTCTGAAGGTACATTTCCGATCACTGTTAGTATGAATTCCTAACAGGTGTACATTTTTACAAACAGGGGAATGAATTTATAAATAAGTTCAAGGCACAGAATTATCCACGTTGACAATACTTAAAAAGTATTAGTATCCATCACCACCACGCTGTATGCAAAAGCATTTTGGGCCTCTGTCAACTCCTCAGAGCAAAGAAGAAAACACACACACACACACACACACACACACTCTCCCCCGTTATGTACATGCACATAAACACTGCATGGCAGAGAGAGGGCGGCCACGGGGGGAGGCAACGCCCACCAGCCAGGCAGCCCAGGACCGTGCCAGTGCTGGGCCCCGTCACCCTGGCCGGCTTTGCTTTAGCTGGGGCCGCGAGTCCCTGCCCACAACATCAGTTTGTCTCCTGTTCGGCACGCGCCTGCTGCACGCCCTCTCCGTGCAGCCGCTGCCCTCGGCACCAGACCTGGTCTTTGCTCTCGGATTCCACAGCTGGGAAGAGGGCAGCTCTTTGTGCGATTATTTAATTAAAATCTAATAATGAGCTGTGATAGATGTTATGAAGGGTATTTAACAGATGCCATAAGGGTTCCAACGGGGGGCCTGCACAAGAATAGGGGTGGCCGAAAGCTGCCGCTGGTCTCTGACGGTGGTCTTTTTAGAACATAAAACCAGCACGTGCGTAATTATTCCCACACCACTTTTGGACACGAGCAGGCGCTGCGGGGAAAGGGCAGGACGGGTGGCAGAGCCACCGTCCATCTCCGGGTGTCTGAAAACAGCGGCACGTGTCAGGACCTGCCACCATTCTTGGGAAGCAGACGCACAGCACAGGCAGACACACGTGCGTGCGCACGCAGCGTCGGCACTGCCTGTTCGCCCCGCTGCTGCCATCACCCCGAACCCAAGAAGCCGCACTGCGTCTGGCTCTAGAAGCACCGACAGGCGCGCGAGCATGTTGCTCATTTCCATGAAATGTACCGTTGGCCCGACAGTGCCCGGAGCACAGCTTGGCACATTAGCAAGCGCTGCTGAAGTGCCGGTTGTGTAATGTCCCCTCCTCTTACAGAAGCAAGAAGCACGTCCTGCACGAGTCCTCCCAGGGACTCAGGACTGACAGACACAGGAGCCCCAGCTGATGTCAATAAGGACCTTTATCTTAATGCAGGAAATAAGATTTAAAGGCAGGAAGTGATGATTCTTACCTTTGGGTCATCTCCAAACTGGCCAAACTGTACATCATTTAATAAAATACGCGCTGTTTTGATGATATCTTTACATTTTTTGGGTGTTTCCTCTACTTTCCCAGCCAGAAAGAGACAACAAGCTCCTGTTACCTAGAAGAAAGACAGAAGTTCCCGGGATACTGTCATCGAAGCTCACACAGAAACACAGCAGGGATTTCCATCCTTCACAGCAAACCGACCCCTCACCCTCCCGCCTGCCCCTTTCTCGTGCACAAGAACTCAGACACCCTGAGAGCTCAAAGGAAGTTTCACACACACACCCAATTTGGCTCCACAAATTATTTAAAATTTCATTTTCTGAAGAACATGTTATGTAAACAAAGTAGATGAAAGAAGGGAAAGAAGCTGCAGACAAACTTTCTTTCATTGCAATCTGAAAGACAAACGTCCGTTCCGTGAGCAGTGAGCTTCGCCACAGAACAAGAGCACTACTAAGCGCAGGCCCCGTGGGTCCCACCCCTGCGCCAGGGCCCTGTGCCCCGCCGTGCCCTCCAGCCACCGGACCCTCGTCCAGTCCCATGACACTGAGGTGGTCTCGCCGCTTCTGCATGCCCCTCCCCAACAGAAGCCTGACTGGCAGGTGTCAGACGCTGAGCCCAATGTGACCGCCTTCCTGTAGGACGTGCGTGTGAAACTCAGTGAAGCCTCGGCAGAAGGAAGAACCCCCACGAATGGGCTTCCTGTTAAGTCTAATTCCATTACCTCTTTGTGAAACCTTTCAACCGCTTCAGCGTACCTGGCAAAGCCAAGCGCCCTAATCTGGGACTCAGTCTGCCTTTCCGCCCAGGGCCCCCCATTCCCTCCCTGCCAAATGTACCTCCCCCTCGGCTGACACCGACTACGCTCTGCCTCCGTGGCTGTCACGCCAGCTTCGGCTGGACGACTGCTGCTCGCTCCCTCCATCTCAGCACGTCTAACGCCCCCTTACAGCCAGGGCTGGCCTCACTGGGCACCGCAGCGCGTCCCCCGATCCCTCCGCAGTGCCGTGACCCCTCCCTCGAATGCTGCAGCCTCCCCTCTGCACCCCTCCCGCGGCCTCACTCTCTCCATGTGTTTTGTACACAGCACACCATCTCCTCGGGACGCAAAGCTGTGGAGGCAGGTTCCCACCTGAGCTGCCCACGGAGCGGGAGACACAGTGCCCGTCTAAGGAGTAACTGAGGAAGGAGTGCTATGGCCTAACAAACTTCTATTCCTTCTTGGCCTTTGTTGGATCTCAATGATAAGCCCAAATCTATCCTGGCAAAGGTAATAGGGAAGTTAACTTTCACACAAAGTACAACATCACTATGGTCCATATTGGTCTAAATAAAAAAAGATCTGAATATGGTTAATTAACAACAAAACAAAGTTCAAACTTGACTTTGTTTATACACAGTATATACTATGTAGAAATACATACGTTCTAGAAATACAAAAAGAGATAATCAGTCCACTAAACTGTGTGGGAATAATTATATGTGATAGAGCATTACAATAAAATTCAAATACTTACATATCTTGGGAATTGCTTGAAGGAATGAAACATATAGAAGCGATGAAAATAAATTATTCCAGTTGCCAGGGTATCATAGTGCCTATTGCTCTGGTTAAGGATTTTAACCAAAAATTTGTACAGGTTATGTTCTTAAATGTGGAAAAACTAAAGCAGTGAGACAAATAGCAACAAAATCAGCGGTAACGTAAACACTGTCAGCAGCAAAGCCGGCAGACGGCAATCCTGGCATCAGAGTTCTGATACAAGGTCAAGTTCATGCTGTGAACAAGGCGGGGCTTTAGCATCCTTTAGGAACACCCCAGCTGTGACCCCTGGGTGCTGTTTTCCTTCTGGGGGCCGCTTGCTCAATGGCTAGGTCTACACATTTAAATGACAAACAGGAAACAGAAAACCCCTGAAGAGCCAAGCAAGGCAGAAATAACATCTAGACAACAAGGTATTCAAGAGGCATTTTAGCACAGTGCTGTTATTACACACTCGGTCTACAGTAACTGATTTAATTCTCGGTGGTGGAGGTGGGGAGCCTATCTGCAACAGACTCCAAAGAGATAAGGATACAGTCCCAGACGTGTGCCCACGTCAAAGATGAACCGAGCCCCCTCTCGGCGGTACCTGGCTTCAGTGGCTGGGTCGAGCCCTTCCAGCTGAGAGGGTGTATGAGCTAAGTCTTTCTTATCCCAATACCAGCATGGTTTTGTGTGGTCCAGGTTGGCTGAGGCTACTGAAGGGCTTGAATTTTCTTTATTTTCCTTCATTTATTGAAGTAGACTCGTTCTTTTCAAGATCCTCTGGAAGTGTTCGTACCCTAAGAGAGAAGCAGAGCGAGGTTGGACAGGGACACCCCACGTGGAGCCACCCCAACCATTATAAACAGTCTACGACCACAGGGCGCACCTGGTTTTGAGTTGCACTCTCCACAGAAACAGCACTGCTGACCGACTGGCAGTCAGAAGCCCAGGCTCACCTCCAGGGCCAACCGAACAGGCCCACACGCACCGTCCTATGTCATTTCATACAAGGGACTCGAGCACCCATGGGTTTTGGGACCTGCGGGAGTCCTGGAACCAAGCCCAGGCAGATACCCAGGCGCTCCTGTGCTGTAAGTGACCCCCAGTATGGTAAATCCCTATGATTTCTTTAGAAGGAAGCGAGTTTCTGCCTCACCTTCCTTCACTGGGCCCAGTTCCCTTATGCGGGTCTCAAGTCCATTCTTTGCTAAAACCGAGGCCTTCCTAACGCCTTCAAAAGATTGGTGCTCTAAAATGGCCCATCTCTCCCATCTAGCACCCAGTTAGATGTTCCTTGTTCGTTTACATGATTTCACTTAGGTACTTCCACGTAAAAAAGCCACCAGGCTGGATGAACTCACACCTGCACAAGTCACTGAAATGAGCAGGATATTGTCAGGTGTGGCTGCAGTGATTTAGGGGGAGCTGGTGGAGGGAGGTGGAAGGAAGAAGCTGCTTTAAATTCTTTTTGCTTCCTCATCAGCTTCTCTTTTATTCAGAATGAAGAGATTCTCTAAAGGTTCCATGCTGAGGAAAAACCCCCCAAAAAACAAGGGCTCCCATCTGAGGTCACAGTAATATGTAAATTATAAGTTGGACCGGAGAAGAGAAATTCCCAAGGAGGGCAGGAAAAGTGTTCTGCCAGCGGTGCTAGACCCGCGCCCGGTCAGGCTGGCGGGGAACGGCAGCACGGCAGCCAGGCTCCGGGTCGGGCGGGCCGCCTGACCCTGGGGAAGCCGACATGCCGGCGGGGTGCTCTCCTCTGCGCGCTGGCGAGCTCGCGAGCGAGCCTGGAGTTTCCTTTAACAGAAGAATTAAGTACCTGAAGAAAAGCAATCCTGTGAACTTACACTTTTGTGTGTGACTAAATCGGGGTGGGGGGGGAGCCCCGTTAATTAAAGCCTCAGTAGATACGAGGAGCTCGGGGTTAAATGTCTTAACACACCCTTTCCCACCTATCAGATCAGCAAAAAATCCCAAAGTTTCCCCACGGACCCTGCTGGCAAGGCAAGGAGAAGCAGGCAATCCCACGGACTGCTGGCGGGAGCACCACGGGGGACAGCCCTCACAGGGGGCCCGGCAACACCCACCAACCAACACGCTCATCTCATCGCTCTCTGCTTCAGCAAGCCCACTTCCCGGAGCCTACTCTGAAAACACCACCGCCGGTATGAAACAGCATATGCACAAGATTATTCCCCAGAGCGTTATGTATAATAGCAGGAATTGTCAACAACCCAAATGCCTGTCAGTAGGGCACCAGCGCAAAAAAACATGGCATATTAACACAATGCATACCATGCACTGTTAAAAGGGGCGGGGGAGAAAGCGCTTAAGTACTGATGCGGAGACATTTCCAGGATCCGCCAGCAGCAGGGTAGCGTGCTGTGTCTTAGTACGTAGGTAAGAAAGGAGACAGGAGACGAACTAAGAACAGACGTCTCCATTTTTTAAAACTAATGAAAATAATGTCTGCCAACGGGGTTTGGGGAGAACAAGATGGAACACTGGGAAGACGACTTCTTTGAGTATGTATCTTTTTTTATAGTTTTGACTTAAAAAAAAAAACCCCTCATTTTAAAATAATTGTAGATTCATGGAAAAATTATAAAAATAGTACAGAGAATTTTTATACACTCTTCCCCCAGTTTCCCTTAATGGTTAACGTCTTCTACAACCACGATAAGCCAATCAACACTAAGAAATTAATTTTGGTATGCTATTAAATAAACTATAGTCTTGACTTACAGTTAAGTTTTTTCGCAAAAATCCCTTTTCTGTTCCAGGATCTTAACCAGGACACCACATGGCATTTAGGTGTTACTGTTCTCTAGGTACCCTCTGGCAGGTAACCATTTCTCAGCCTTCCCCTGCCCTCAATGGGGTGTGTCTGAGGCCCCGCCAGGAACGGGCAGGGGCTGAGGAAGGGCGCCAGAGGCAAAGCGCCCCTCCCACCCACCGGGCCAGGACGGCTTCTTCCTGCCAGCCTCACCCGCGGGCATTAGGGTAAGAAGGGATCCGCCAGGCTTCTCAGCTCAAGTGGCTGTTTTCCCTTTTCTTTTTTCTGTTCCTGAGAAGTGAGTCATGAAATACAGCCTACACTCAAGGGTAAGGGAATGAAACTCTACCTCCTGGAAGGAAGGGCAGCAGAGAACGTGTGGACAAATGTTAAAACCATCACACTCATCAGTAATCATTTGGGAGCAACCATTTTGCGATGCAAAATACTACCCCAAAAACCTGTTTTTCTGTGAGGCTTCGCCTGTTGATTTCGTCATTTACCTCTGGAGCTCGCCTGCAACCATTATCACTAGGGCGTTTGAATGGTGATTTTCTATTTAGGGATGGAAAAGAATCCCAGTCCACAGGGGACAAGCCACAAATATGTTCAAGCCCATTCTACCTTGTTGTCATTGACCAAACCCCATGCTAATAATCTAGTCTAGGTGCCTTTCGAGTCCAGGGCAGAATGAACAATACATGAAAAGCAGTGAAAATAAATGCACATAAATAGGACAGAAACAGTCCTCTAAAGCTTCCATCCCCTGAAAAAGTGCCTGCCTCAGTTCTATACCTGTTTGTTCCCTTTTACTCTCCGATTATTTTTTCACAAGGTCCTAAAGTTGAAACTTTTCTCATTAGCAGTTCATGATTACTGTGAAAGGCTGAGAGATTTACGAGCTCTACAAAGTAAAAATCTCTCATAAACAAGCAGCATGTCAAGGCATTTTAGCAACACCTTTCATGAATGCGTCTTAGATATTTCACTTTACATGATGAAAGATTAAATTCATTTTTTAACATTCAGAATTATAGATACTTCCAAGTCGGAAACAACAGTAAATAGGTCACTATTCATCCCCCTCACAGCACAGCGGCGCCCTCTAAACCGTAACATCGGGTTACTCACGAACCTTCGTTCGGCCACTTTCATTAATGGCACGTGACCGATTACAAAGCCGCCCATCGCATTGCTGAGCATCAACAACTGGTGTTCCCACGACCGGTGACTCTTGTGCTACCTGTGTATTGATTCTGGTCCGTTCTGTTCATCCCCTAGCTCTGGAACACAGATGGCACAGAGCGAGGGCGTGAAGTCTACCTTTCATCGGCTCTCTGTAGCCCCTATTTAGCTCCTTGAAAATCCTTTTCCCTTGTCTACTGATTGCCTTTCACATATATGAAGACAGTTTTTACATTCTGTTCTTTTCTCCAGGGCAAACATCCCATTTTCTAGATTTGGTTTTAAGTGTTTGAAGATCATCCCGAAATATTAACAAAACGGAAACCAGTACTCTTTACATGATTGGTGTAGCACATGGGGGAGGTCAGGTCACTACGACAGGCAATAACACGTCCAAGGAGAGGCCGCTGAGTCGCGGCGTGCCTGCAAACCAAACCACGTTCATCCTCACAGCTCACCACTGAGAAACTGGAGCCAACGAGACATGAAGCGACTTGCCCACTTCAGCCCACCAGCAAATGGCAGAGCCCCAGTTTATCATTAGGCTAACACGCTGCCTGCCCTCAATGGGGACACGCCTTTGCTTCTGTAATTGTAACGTTACACCCATTTTTGTCAAGTTGGATTTCCTTGTTTCAAACTCCGACAACTGGGTTTCTGTAAATTTAATCATTCCTGGCAAGTCTGTATCCTGTTAGTCTGGGTCTGTTATTTCAGCCTTTAGGACATCTTTGAGCCCTGAGTGTCAGCCCACATGCCAGCTAACTACAGGTTTTGGGTGCCCTTATTCATTTGAGAAGCATGCCTTCTACACGTTTAAAGTTGGTAATGAAAAGTGCTCATCGGCCCTAGCTGGGTGGCTCAGTTGGCTGGAGCGTCGTCGAGCACACCAAAAGGGAGCAGGTTCAATCCCTGGTCTGGGTGCCGACCGGAAGTGACCGAGCGATGTTTCTCTCTCACCCCACTCCTCTCTCTCAAATCAATAAACAATCCCCGGGCGAGGACTTAAAAAAAAAGTGCTCATCAGAGTAAGAGCAAGGCCAGAGACCTGTAGCCTGTGTCTGAAGACCTCTCTTTACTCAGGCTGACATCAATTCACTAACCAACACTGGAGGCTTGGCCATTTGAATGGATATAAATTCACCTAATTAGACCTCATCCAGTGTACACTTACCTGTGTTGACCAGGGCAGGAAGAAGTTATATTTAGTGTCCTAAGGAAACCTAAATAGACTCACCCCGCATCCAGCACTAATCTAATGAACTTAAAAAAAGGGACACCGTTTGTGTCACCCACCTTCTTTAAAAATTGAAACGCTGTCGGTTTGAGGGAACCAGCTCTCCATTCCCGAGTACTCACAAACTCCCTTTTAGCTCTTCCAACAAGATTCTAAAATAGGTTATTAACAAATTCTAGCATCTGAGAGCCATCTCATTACTCTGCAAAAACTGAGGCCTTTAACCTACTCCAGGTTTCTATCATTAACTGTACTTCTGGGATCCCAGTGATTTTACAATCATATCTGCAAGGTCTCTGGCATAGAATTTATTGGAGCCTAAATCTACAAAGGAGATTTAATCCAATTAGACCTTCTTTACAGTCTCCTGAACTACTATGCACCTAATTCCTCTTGATTTTGTTTGTCCCTCTCCAGTTTTGGAGAAAACAAACAAAGAAAGAAACATTTTTCTTCTTCCTAGACACTCAGTGACCTTACCGCTTTCAAATGTAAGCTCTTGAAATGAACTAGTCACGCGCTGCTTAAGGATGGGGTCACGTCCTGAGCAGTGTTTCAGGAGAGGGAATCGTCACTGGGCGAAGATCAGAACGCACTTACACGAACCTAGACGGTGTCGCCCACTACAACGAGGCTACCAGCCTGTAGAGCATGTTCTGTACTAAACGACATAAGAGTCAATGAGGCGCGAGAGAAAAGAATCTAATCGCGGAAGTGCCTTTTCCTCATTCCTTTTCAGACTCCAGAGTCGCAGTACCCAGACGTGGAACGACACCAAAGTCTCAGACTTAACCACGGTTGGGACCGAGCCACTGAGAAGTAATGGAAAGACATGGGTAGGCTGAGGCTGTGAGGCCAAGAGTACGCGCCCGTGTCAAGATCACTGCTCCTTCTGCCCCCCGTTAAAAAGTCCCCAAACCCTAGCCGCCCCTCTCGACGAGGGTCGCTACTTGTTCTAGGGTCCGCGCGGGCCTCTCTTCTCCGCTCCCATACTTCAAAACCCTCTCCCCAAATCCGTCCCGCAGCCCCGCCATCTCTCGCTAACTTCGATCTGCACTGGGGAAAGCGGAGGGAGGTGGAATCCGGGAAGAGAAGCTCCACCAGCGGATGCAAGCAGTTGGCCATACTCTACTCCGACTTTTAGGGACGCGGGAGTGGGTGGCGCTGCCCGCGGTCCGTCGGTCACTCACCTCTCGCCTCAAGCAAGCCCCTTAGCGACGTCTCTCCTTGCCGACGGCAGCCATCTTGGACGTGGGAAGTCGGGGAACTACGTCATCGCCCGGCGTCGGCGCTCCACATCAAGCGACGGGAGGTGCCTGTCAACCAATCAGAAAAAAGCAGGGCTCTCAAAGGAGGAAAGAACAGCGTCTTCTTCCGTCCCTCCTTGCAGGAGGAGGAGCCGGTCGGAGG